TCCTGCTGTAAGACTCAATATTCAGTGTTTCCTAGCAACTTTAGCACATAGATAGTGACATTTCTCCAACCCCCCTGAACACTGTTCCCAAATTTCTGAGAAATGCCTCATACCAGTGTTTTGCCAATGAAAGAAAAACTAGGCTTACACTTTAGGCTTTGGGCTTACATATTTAAGATAGTTCTCTAATTCCCAGGGAAAAAAGAAAAATAAGTGTTTGCAAAGAGAGGGGCAGACCATCTTCCCTTCTTACCACATAGCTAACAATTATAAGAAATAGTTTTAAATGAAGAAGAAATGTCTCTGGAATTCTTCTGCTACCAGCTCAATTGGCATGTGTTGGCATTCTTGAGCTGCTGCTTCAAATCAGAAAACAAAAATATAGACTGTTTATATGGGCAACTATCGTTTTGTGTTTTTCTCTCTTTTATAAAATTTTACATGAACCAATTAGAAAATGTGATGAATAACAAATAGGAGTAACTCTTCTCTGTGATGATCCCCATGCAAATTTTAAAGTACTTATGTCACGGAGGCAGGGAAGCTAATCATACAGAGAGAAGCTCTGTAGCCATAGAGAACTGAGGTCCACCAAAGGTTACTGCTCACCAGCTGCATGCCTGAACAAATTATTTTAGCCTCTCTGGGCCTCAGTTTTTTCATCATTTGTTTGAGGTTCTAGTTGCCATCTCATAAAGTCATTATGAAAACTAAAAATATATATATATTACAGTTATTATATTACATATACATTTCACATTATGTGTTACATTGGGTCATTGGAAAAGTCATGACATGGTTTTTCCATGCAAAAATATGTCATGACTTTTCCAATGACCCAAGACATTATGTGTGTGTATATATATACAAAATATATTATGTGTAAATATATGACTATATATTTATATATAAGCACTTAGCATAGCTCCTATGACTAAATAAATGATAAATGGTTGCTGCTTTTATTTAGTTTCTGGAGTAAATGACACTCTGCTTTCTAAATTAATTGGGCTATAACGTTTAAGTGGCATTAATCACCATATAAACAACAAAAGGAAGAACACAATTTCTGGAAAATATTCTTAAAGATATAACTGCATTTTTGTGCATGATTTCCTGTCATTAGATTTCAACCTGCTCCTGGGGACATTTATTATGATAAATTTGTTCTCTTGGATGTTTGTGCCTGTTCTCAAAATTATACTTAGACTCCTTTTTATCTTTTATAACAGGCTGAAGCCATTCACATGAATCCTCTTTATATTTTGATACCTACTACTCTGTGTACTTCATTTTCCTTCCTCCTACCAGTAGCAAATCCACCTAATGCCATAGTTTTTTCATATGGTCATCTGAAGGTCATTGACATGGTGAGTTTGCTGAAAAAAATACTATCAGGTTCAGTTCCTACTTTTTTGTGATGTTTTTCAGTTCTCTCTCTGTTGTACACTAATGAACTGTCAGGAACAGCCTGGCCTAAGCTCTGTATCTGAAAGCGTGTGCATGTGGTCATAGAATATTTTCTAGGGGTAATAATCAGAAGTGAACATGTCGTTAGAATTTGTAGTCACAAAAGCAGAGACACGGAATTTATCAGTAACGCCTTGGAAGAAGGAAAAGAATATAGAATATGCTCGTATTGCTGATTTAAATGTGCCATGTCAAGATTATGATCCAACCTGCCTTAGGCAAAAAAAAAGAAATGAAGTTAATGAAATTCTGCGATCAAAAGAGTACTATGGTTTGTTATAGCAAATATTTATGCAACTGACATTTGCTCTGATTAAGACATTGAGCTTGTGCCTGACGGATGAAAAGGCATCTTTCTTATTCTGATTCTGATACTGGCACCTGATGTGAAAGAACCAAGGAGACAATAATGGAAAATATAAATGATAAAACATGCACATTTGCTAGTTAAGAATTAGCTTGAGAATATTCCAGTTTCCTCCCAGTATTCACCACCAACATCCAAATTGACCCAAACAAGAATATAAAGAAGATAAGTTCAGTGAACTTGCTATGCAAATACCATTCCAAGGTATTTCCTTCCACACAAACTACTATGGACTTCAGCAACATACAAATTCTGGAAAGGCCTGCATATAAAAATCTCAGAATATCTTGTTGGTAAAGAAAATATACGTAGTACACTATGAGGAACTTCAAAAAGTTCATGGACATGGTATTATTTTTTTTAAGAAGTCTATGCATAGATTTAAAAATACTTTTGCACCAAAATGAACACCTCCCTTATTTCTATTTTCCATGAACTTTTAAAATGTCTATGTATCAGCAATACCACATGTATGTGTATAAAAGTTATCAAAGCAGGATTCTAGAATAAATTGTTGGTATGCATGGACAGAGAAGAGGGACCCTAAAATAATTATTGCTAGATATAACCCTTTTGTTTTGAGGCTCCGGGTTTTAATGAAGATAATGCAGGGGTAAGTAAACTTTCTCTGTAAAGAGCTAGATAGTTAATATTGGAGGCTATGTGGGCCAGATGGTCTCTGACACAATTGCTCAACTCATAAGAGTAGCAAAAAACATATGTAAACAAATGGGCATGGTTTTGGTCTAATAAAGCTTTATTTATAAAAACAAATCAAGGACAGTAGTTTGCTAACCTCTATTTTAATGGGTAGAAAGCAGCTTTGATAATGTTTAATAGACACCAGAATTACACCATGAGCTAGAAAAATGAGAACTTTAAGAGAGATGAATAAAAGTGGCATTATAAGCTTTCAATAAGAGACTATTGAAAGATAACTAATAATATTGGGGGAATATAAAGTGTATAGTTTTTATATCATGTCCTGAAACTTATTCATTAAATTTAAAATCCTTAAATTCTGCTTTTACATGAAATGGCAGTTTTTTAAGAAAATTTGCTCGAAGGCATAGGCACTTGCTGGAGAGAGACAGAGAGAGATATGGAGAGGGAAAGCAAGAAAACATCTGTCATGGGGCAAAATTTCACTACAATCCCTTCTCCTCCATTTCTCCCTCCTATCATAATTTTGGGCACACACACACACACACACATTTCACTAACATGTTTTCCTAGGCACCAGATCTAAGACTCAACCTCACATTGGCCATGTGGAGTCTAGCCACTTTAACCATCAGGCCATGGCTGTCCCAAAATTTTAAGGGAATTATTCTCTAATCAGTATGACTTGGGTATATTCTTAAGAGGAATTTCTCTGAAACTCTCAACCTAAATGGTGATTAGATTGGGACAGATTCTCTTTTGACACAAAGAGAAAAAGAACTATATTTTATGAAATGACAGTTATTGACACCGGCAGTTGGCATATTGGCTATGTCGCTGGATTCCCATGTAGTCGACCACAGTTTGAGTCCCAGATCCGGTGGCTTAAAATCATGCCGAGCACATGTGTGTGTATGCTCAAGATCCCGAGAGGAGAAGAGAGAAGGGATTGTGGTGTGGCCATCCTTCCTGGGGGGTGATTTCTCATTTTCTGTCTTTCTGTCTCTCTCTGTCTTTCTGGTGAGCACACGTGCCCTATAGCAAAAACCTCTCCAAAAAAAAAAAAAAAATAACAGCTATTTATATTAGTCACTTAAGATGCATGTAAATCTGGCATATGTTTTCTGCAACAATATTCTAATTCTCCTGCAGACTTTCTCTTTGGGAGATTAACACTTATGCTCTTTTTTTTTTTAAAGGTTAAAGCTGGACTTGGTGTTAACATTGTGGGTGTTGCTGTGGTGATGCTGGGCATGTTCACCTGGATTCCACCTATGTTTGACCTCTACACCTACCCCTCTTGGGCTCCTACAATTAGTAATGAGACCATGCCATGAAAAGCACAAAAGTTCTATCTTATGGTAACTTTTGGAAACCATTAAGAATTAACTCACCGTAAAACAGAGCTCTAGATAATTAATGACACATTGAAACCAGTCATGGAGCTGCTGCAATTCTAAGAAACATCCAAAACCTGCTGTCATAACTCAAAGTCATGTTTCTTTTGATATGCAACCAAAGAGCATCTACATACCTTCACTGAGAAGCCCATGGCTGATATTTTGCTCACAGATCGTTGGCATCTTGCTTCACCATAAGAATAATTTATAACTTGACCTTCAAAGAAATTAGGTCATTTGCTTCATCTTACATGTGGAGTTCAATGTACATTTTAAACAATTTCTTTCAGAAACTTCTTATGAAACTAAAACTAAAAAATAAAATATACAAGTTAATGAGCTACTCAATCATTTCTGTAGTGTTGTTCAAAAATGCTGAAAAACAAAAACTGTGGTCATCTGGTGGTGCAGGACAAAGTTTAACCTAAATGAAATGTGGATTAACTCATCTAAAAAAATCCAATTAGATTATGTAATAAATATAGTTTATAAACTGAAACTGAAGTAGTAATCCCAGAATTACAGCTAAATCCACTAAATAACAGAAAACCCCTAGAAAAGGATTAATTTCTAATTGACCCTATGGGTAGGTTAACACAAATTATACATGTATGATCTCAGGACACTGAGAAATGCGTTTTGTAAAGTTATGAATCAGGCTTGGTACAATTTCTTTCTTACTACATTATAATTAGAAAGGAAAGCTAAATACTATATAACTATTGACATGTGTATTTATATGTATAGTAGCTTTGCTTAAGTGTTTCTTATTCCAGAAGTATGTTCCTATATAAAAAGGACAGAAATTTAAATTCACTGTGTGTACAAGAAATAGAAAAAAGTCACATAACTCCTTTAAATCAATATTGAAGTGAAATGGCATAGGAAAAATACAAAATTTAACTAACATATTTACAAAAGAAAATAATTATTTATGGACAAACCAGAAAAAAAAAAAAAAAGCTGAGCATTTAAACTAGAATGAAAATAGTCTCCCAGAGCACAGAATGTGAAAAAAAAAAATGTCTATTGACATTCTAAAATTAGAAAAAAGAGAAAAAGACAACTGAAAGCAAAATAATGTGCATAATTAGGAAAAGATGGGCATATTAGAGCTAAAAATAAAATAGAAGGTCAAAAATACCTTTGCTATTTTTAATCTTCATGGGTGCCTTTCTAGATGTTAATAGACCAGTTGTCTTTTTTTTAAATAATGATTATTTATAAAATTATTCCTGAGGTTAAATATAGTGGAGAGTGTTTTAAAATAATGTATATTCACTTTACAAGCTAAGTAACATAGATGATTGGATATATAAGATAAATTTAAATACAAAATTAAAAAGTTATATATGATGAATTAACTTTGTTCATCACATTTAATAGTCAATGCAAATTAATCTTTTTTAATTGTTCTTTTAAATCTTAAAATATATTGCTGCTGTGTGTAAATCATCTACCTTGCTTCCAGTCACGTGTTCCTTTCTCTGTCATATGTCACACGTTTATTTATAATCCGTAGTATTTATTACATTTCTGCTCTTTTCTAGCCATTCAGTTTATTACTGCTGAATTATATTATATGATGGATACATTTTCGTTGTGAAAAAATAAAGTGACTTTTCTATGATAATGAGTAAGTTTTAGTCTCAAGAAAATAATATAAACATTTCAGCTTGAATCATTTTAATGAATTACTTCCAACAGCTGCCAGCTGAGTGCAAGAAAAATAATACTTAGTCAAATGCGCTTAAGTGAGCCATATGTTCCTGGGCCCCATCTTCATGTTTGGTTGATATATCAAAAATGACTTAATTTATCCATTTCACATTTGTCCTATTTACATCAATGTTCTCAAGCTCTGTTAGTTGTAGGATTACAGACTGTCTTTGAAAGTTTCCAACAGCAGCCCTAAACAGATGATCAGACTAAGCTCATCCTCCCACTCGACGGGAGATAGTGTTTTTGTTATTATCTTGATCATTACTTAAAGGTTAACTAGAAATCTTTGTCACTTTAAATTTCCGTGTCTTACTTAGGATTGGATCTTGTCTAGATAATGGTAGCAATTTCACTAAGTGCCTATTTACTGTCTGTTCATGCAAGTTCTTGGAAGGCTCCATCAGCCTAGTGTATCCTTCACTCACCTCAGCGGCACATGTCAGCTCTCTAGAATTCAGAATGCCTTTCTCCCAAATGTGTGCAGTGTCTTCTCCTGATTTCATATCCAAAGCTTTCTTCTCTCCTTTCCAGCCTGGGATGCAGCAAAGCACACTTTGGGCTAATATGACTAATTAACGTTATTAGCAAAACTGACAAAACGGTATCATGGCACATTAATTGTGTCTTGACATGTGTGCTATGTATTATTATGTGTAAAAGGGTATTATCAGATCTATTACTTTATTTCTACCGTGGCTAAATGTTTTATAAGAATTTTTGTGATGACACCTTTGTTCCGAAATTTAACTGATTTCGTTAAAGAATATTACCTTTGCTAGATAGAGTATGTGAATTTTACTCAGTTAAATGCTTTGTTTTGTTTTTAATTTTTAGTAGGGGAGAATTGTACTAGGAATGCAAGAGTAACCAAACTACATCAAATTTATATTCCAATATGATTTAAAAAGGAAATTGTTAAAAGTGTTAGTCCAGAGGACCAGCAAATAGCATGAGGGTTACATCACTGGACTCCCATGTAGTAGACTGTGGTTTGAGTCCTGGATCCAGCAGCTTAAATGTCACACAAGGCACAGATGCCTGCATGCTCAAAATCCAGAGAGGAGAATGGAGAAGGTATTGTGGCATGGCCATCCACCCTTGGAGAGTGATTTCTTGGTTTCTGTCTCTGTCTCTCTGGCAAGTGCACACACCCTATAGCAAAAAAAAAAAAAAAACCAACAAAAAAACAACGAACAAACCGAACAAACAAACAAACAGTGTTAATCATCCATGGCAATAATCCATGGAAATACTAGCCAAATGAAGCATTTAAGTTTAATACAACTTTATGGGGTAAGTTTTGGGAATACAAATATTAAAAGCATAGGTTTTCATTCTAGTGGTAAGACCAAATTAGTTGTCCAGGTATAAATGGTAAAAATAGCATAAAACTGAGGCAGAAATTACAAAGTTTTTCTTAATATGGAAATCTTCATTTTTCTCAAAAAAGAAAGACACAAATTTTAAAACAAAAGAAATAAAGGGATTTTCTTACTGATATTAGAGTGGTATAAGTACCAAGTGTGTGGAGTCGAGGAATTGTCTTAAAGTGAAATAATAAAATGCGTTAAATAACAAATATCAATGTGTCTGCAAGGAAATAATGGAAGTCCTCAAAAGAGATACAAGTAAGAATTTAGAGATTAAAGCAGGAACTCAAAGTGGTAAATACTGCACAGGAAATGGGATAGGAGGCAAAGCTAGAATCCAAACAAGAGGCTGCATGGGAGCTGACATAGCCAGGATCCCAAAGGACTGTATTTTCAGTTAACATATGAACTAGGTTAAACACTCCCTCTATAGAGGAGAACATCAAGAGAATGTTTTGATGTATGCACTAAATGGAGGGAGTAAGATATACCTTTAAAAATATAAAATTATGCAGGTTTGGCAACTAAAGTCTCAATATCAGTGTGTGTGTGTGTGTGTGTGTGTGTGTATGTGTGTTAAGGTAGGGGTGGAGGGAGTACCCTTTCTAAACTTTATTTGTTTATTAATTTGCCAGAGGATTTATGCATTGGCTGGAGAGACACAGAAGGAAAGAGAGAGAGAGAGAAGGAAAGTGGGAAAACACTCCTCCATGGGAGATGGGTCACACCATAATCATCTTCCACCATTTCTGCTTTGGGGATTTTGTACATGCACATAGACATGCCTGGTGTATTTTTCAAGCTGCCAAGTCTAGAACTTGAACTATAGAGTTAACCGTGTGGAACCCAGGAATCTAAACCACTATACCGCTGACTTGGTCTCTAAACTTCACTTTAAAACAAATTTAAGTTGATAATATTTTTAAGTGCCTGATAAAAGAAGAAACACCTTCTTCAACTTGGGACTCAAAACCTTATGAAGGTTAAACTTAATGTGAAATTTTAATGAAAATTCACAAATTCTACTAAGACAGTACAATATGCAAGAACTAACAAAAGAAACATGACCCAAAGTGCATGAATAGTAAATATTATAGTTATGACAGACAAAATATGGGGAGGAGGTCTTCAAGAAGTTCATAGAAAATGCCTGTGATGAAAAACAATGCAGATATTCCAAAACTTTTTGCATCAAAATAAACTCACACTTTAATTCTATTTTCCGCAAACTTTTTGAATTCCTCTCATAGAAAATAAGGAAGTATTGTGCTTGAAAACATAAAAGAAGTTATTAAAAACAAGTATAGTAAGCAGAATTCTAAAAATTGTCCCTCTAAAATTTTTGTCTCCTGGTTATTCAATCAAACACCAATTAAGTACTGGTATAAAAGGACATTGCAAATGTTATTAAGGTTACTAATCAATTGACCTTAAAAATAGGGAGTATTCTGGATTAGTCAAGTATGCTCAATGTGATCATATGAGTCCTTACATGTAAAAGGAAAGGTGGGTGCGATGAAATAGAGTGAACCACGAGAAGGACTCCACTTCCTGTTGCTGGCTCTGACAGTGGAAGAGATCACAAGTCAGGCATCTATCCTTTAGAAGCAGAGAAGGATCCCCCAGCTGAAAGCCAATGAGGAAATAATGGCTGCAGTTCTACAGTTTCATGATACTTGATGTGGCCAACAAGTTTCGTGAGCCTTGGTACAGGGTCTTCCTCAGAGCTTCCAGGAAGAATCACAGCCCTGCAGACACCATCATTTTAGTTCCATTAGACTTAAGATTTACAGAACTTTAAGATAATAATGAGTACTGTTTTTAGCCATTCCATTTGTAGCACAAATACTTTGGGAGAAGCTACCAGCAACCGAAGCTCTGTAAGGCACTTCTAACAAATGTAAGAATATAAAAAGGAAAATAATTGGAGAAGGAAGATAGAATAGCTTAAGATACCATATGCAGTAAGAAATGGTAAGTAAAGAAATGAATAAACATATGAGTAACAGAAAATTTTAATTAACATGCCAAAAAAGCACAATCTATAAATCCAAAGGAGACTCAAAGTATTCTAAGGTTGTTGCCTAAAAGGGGTAGAAATTCTGCATAGTTTTCAATTTTTAAATGTACATGTTATACTTTTCAAATAAGTTTATTTCTTCCAGACAAGAGAGAGACAGAGAGATAGGGTCTAGCACCTCCAGCAAGTCTGGACACCACTACTCACCCTCAGCCTCCTGGATCATGGCCACACACACAGCCAGCATACTCAGGGAGGCCTCTGGATGCAAACCCGGAACCTTTCCATGTAGGTCAGCTCTCCAGAGCATTACAGTTTACTACTGTATCACCATGCAGCCTTTACACATTAGCACTTTTTTCAGAAAGCCACTAACAGAACAAACTAGTGTCAATTAAGAATTATTGGAGGAAAAAAATCTCAATCAAAAAATAAAAATTCAAAAAATTCAAAAATCAAAAAAGTAAAAAGAAAATTAAATTAACAACTGGGGAAAAATAGAAAGTACAAAATTCAGGAGCAATTCTAAATATGCCAATTATCAAAACAAATAGATGGGTTAAATTCACAAATTAAAAATTATCACACTGAATTTTTTTCATGTTACGTATATGTCGTTTACATGATATACAGTTAAATTACCAAGAATGTTTAAAAGCAAGAGCATATAAAAATATTCCAAGTAATACTGCCAATGAGGAACTTGAAGTGACTACATTACAATCAGACAATCAAGACCCAGCCTTTGTGGCTCAGTTAGTGACGTACCAGACAGTGGAGCCAGTAGTCACATGCCTACCACTGTTCAAGTCACTGGCCTATTTGGCCTGAAAATACTCCAGCACTTGCAAATGTGCCCAGAATCCTGGTGAGTCAGGAAGGTGACTGGGTGAAGCTGAGCCGTGTAGAGGGAGTCTGTCTTCAATCTTTCTCCCTCGCTCACATACATGATCTCTCATGAATAAAGACATAAAATGAAACTAACCAATATTTTAGAGTGTAGGTCAAAACTTTAATGCAAATAAGGCAAGATATTAAATAACGTTCAAAAGAAAAAAAAATCACTAGGAGCTATAAGAGATTTAAATCATAGTCAATAATCTAGACTCAAATTGTATAAAAACTAGAAGAATAAATTAA